CCACCGAAGACAAAATCTTTTGACATAATTTAGAAAATCTATCTTTCACGGTTCTGCTTTGTATCCCTTCATATAACTTGGTTCAGTCATTAAATCGCTTCAGTACAAATTTAATAAATAATTTAGTACAACTGCAATGCAATGTACAATGTTCGTATAGTGTTGGACAGTGGCCAAGGCACGCGTCCATCAGCCGACTAATATATTCCCTGGACGCCACTCTGTGACACCGCAAAACTGAATATTATCATTTTTACAATTTTTTTAATTGAATATATGCTAATTAATTTTAAACCAGGATGAAACAGAGGTACGATATAGGGCAAGGTTCTTTTAAAGTATATTACAAATACAAATGATAGAATTTCAACCCTAGGTCGCCTTAAAACTGATAACGAATGTTAATATTTACAGTGTCTTCTTGTCCAAGCTAATATTTATATGCTAGACTGGATAATTATTATCACGGAATTATTTAGATGGATTTAGATACTATAGCTTCAAATGTAGAGCAATTTATCACGGTAGTACAACAATACAAGTTATTGCAAGTTACCGACATCGACACATGCCTCGTTGACATCTTTATTAATGGTTATTGATGATTGCAAGATTAACAATAGACATTTATTGCTCTAATAGATATGCAGATTACTGTTTATGTTATTAATAGGTCCATGCTTAGACATGGAATTACAAACCTTTCCTAATTATATTAGCAAATATAATAGCTAATCTGTATCTCAGTTCGAGAAATGAAGGAAAACGACGTTTTACTTGAAATTTAGAAAAAAGTCGAGATCCGTAGAATTTAAGCAACAATACAATGTTTCACTAAAACTTTTTTTAGTTTAGAAGGAATTTCCTTTCCAGTGCCATTTCTCGAGCTCACGACCGAAATATACGTAGAAATCGTTTTCCAAATTGTTTGCAATTTTGAATCGAAAAAAGATAATGTAAGCTTATTTATAAATCACAAATAAGACACACACTTGAACTCAGAATAATTCGTACCTTATTTGTTAATTTTTCTATCATACTTTAACAAAAAAAAAACTCATTCAATCAACTTACATCCAGCTATTATACATTTTGTTTTCTAAATACAAGATATATTGTTGTTGGACGATCGCCAATCATTATCATCCGAAGTATACGCGCTTGCATCACTGTGAAATATCATAGCCATCGTGACTAATTTCAATATCGTCATACAACATGCATTGCAGCCTTGACAGGACCAAGGGAAATGCAAGTCCACCGAACTCAGAAGTAAGGTAAAGAAGTTAAAAACCTACTAGAACACCTCGAGAGCAAAACGCTTTCTGTTATACTTATAGACAGATTTCCTTATAACATTATTTATCAGTAGACTTAAAGGGCCTTCATTTTTTATTAATCGATCGATGTAAAAAAAACATTTTACAATCGATATTTTTACTTTTTTGTTTTGCCAGTTTTATTGTGGTCTGTGGGGCGGGAGTCAGGTGATCCATCACACAGGGCGCCACCCTAGTTTGGACTCCAGTCCCCTGCCCAAAGAAAAAAATAATAAAATTACTTTTTATTTAATTAAATACCGACCAGTTTAATTAAACTGGTCGGTTTCTTTATGTCCTAAACGAGTAATTGTTTCTAAACAGTTTTGATTTAATATCCCGAATGAATATAACAAAGGCATTGATGTAGTATGTGTCAAGCCGAAGAGTCGGAGCCGGACAGTCGTAAATCACGTCGCATGGAGGCTTTGCATCTGCATTGCAGGCTGCAGCTTACTCAATTCCGTGGAACTTCCGGCCAGGCTATAAACAGTGGACGGAAACAATTTCTCCGCAACGGTTCTTAGAATGTAACTACAGAATTGTAAGCCAATTGTGTTACAAATTTAAATAGACTCTGTTTAATTGTCAGTATGATAGCATTACGTTTTATTAATAAAATAAAAATTATTACATTGTTTAATCGATTTGATTGACCCCGAAAAACATTTTTTATTCACTAACCCAAGCTCTGTAATATATCTTATTAATACTATAAATGCGAAAGTTTAGATGGATGGATGGATGGATGTTTGTTAGAGTTAGTAGCGTAAACGGCTGAACGGATCTCGATGAAATTTGGCATAGACGTAGAGGATAGTCTGGTAGATCACATAGGCTACTCAGTTTTGTTTTTTTTTTAAATTCCACGCGGACGGAGTCGCGGGCGAAAGCTAGTATATTTTAAATTGTTAAAAGCATACAACCACCAATAACTTTCACCTTAGATTTTTAATTGACTATGGATGCTTACTTGACACTGGCCCAACCCGCTGAGGGAGAGCCATAAACAAGAAATAGAATAGATGCTTACATATATAGTTAATTAAAAATTGAAGTGAATTTTGAAGAAACTATTTGTTTATAAGTATATAGCATCAATTTGCACATAAATGTATATTTTAAAACAAATATTAGATTCGAATTTTAATTTGTTACTACCAAAACTTTTATAACACACTGCGCAAAACGTACAATTCTGCTCAACTAATCTAAAAACAGTCCCGAAATTCAGTGAACCTTAAAATTGCACTGAAGCGGCTGCGAACTCGGAGTAAAGAAAATAGGAAATAAAAAGTGACTTTTTAAATTTGATACAAAATAAATAACAAGATTTTGTTAAAATATTCCATTTAAAAGATCTAAAAGATTACATATAATGCAGGAAATCACTGCCTAAAGAAAGTAAATCTACAAATTCAGAAAGAAGCTGAGAACCGTAATATAAAGAACAATAAAATGTTTCACTAAAAATTTTACTTTAGAAGGAATTTCGTTTTCAGCCGTTTCTCGAGCTGAGGACCGACAAATACGACCGAGAAATCGTTGTCCAAGTTGTTTGGAATTTACTAAAAAAAATTGAATCGCAGACCGATAATGTAGACATAAACTTACTTTATCTATCTATTAATATTAATCATCATCTCCCCTGCCTTATCCTACTCCCGTAGGGTCGGCGCACCGGGTTTTCGTCCTCCAAAGCATTCTATCATCCGTCATCTCAGTCATCACTCCCTTCTTGATCATGTCACCTTTCACGCAATCCATCCATCTCTTTCTAGGTCTACCTCTACCAATGTACCCCTCCACATTCATAACTAATATACTATCTATTAATATTAATGAATCACAAAAAATACACTTAAATCATGTATTAGCCATTGCCACTAAACTAAAAAGAATTTATACCTTATTTGCTAATTTTTCTATAAGAATTCTATAAAGTTAGGACATTTCTTCAATTACCTTGTTTTCAGGAAAATCTCGTGTAATTACATAAGCACACTGTTTCTCAAGTCCTGGCATACTACATTTTGAAGAAAATGTACCATTTGATTAAATTTATTGCTTTAATTTTCATCCTACAACCACGTAAATACAAATTTACGGTCGCTTGCTACTTCCCTGAGCTTATTAGGTAAAGGCTTCCATTTCAATTTACTTACTGCTTCTGTTTAAGCCCGATTTGCATAAAATGGAATCGACTTTTGTTTTGCCCTTTTGTAAAATATTTTTATTCGAAATATTACAAAACAACCGCCTAGCAAATTCTTTGTTATATCTTTGATCAACGTTTTTATCATCTATATATACGTAGAAATAAAAATAACTATGTGTTCATAAAGCATTAAAACGAATTGTTTTATAGCAGTTGTTTTAATTTTAATATGTATTATTTTCAATTAAATGCCAAGGTAGTAATTCATTCGGTGACATTAGGTAAAACACTGCCTTGATCTCCACAAGTACTATTATTAGACCATAACTCGGCGCTACGGAAGTATCTTTCTAGATGTTCGTCTTTGACTGTTAACTCGACAGGACTCGGGTGTTTATTGCACGTGTTACCGCTGCACCCTTCATCTGAATTACAATTAGAAAATGATAAATTCCTCAGTAGTTCATACTTAGAGAGATCTGTTGAAGCGTGCGAAACATTATCAACGGAACATCTGAATTTATTATGTTTGCCTCCAACGAAACCATCCAGAGCTCTAGGGTGTATTATTGGAGATTTAGATTTTACACCATCGAAACTTTCATTTGTTGAGTTTTCTTTTATTGTTTTATCTCGCGGTGTGTCCAGAGACCTCGCCGCGCCACTTTTTATGAATTTACCTTTGACATGACCTTTGTTTTTCACTTGGAATCCGTTCTCATATGACCGAGCTTTATTTGTATATTTCTTTTCTGGTGTGAGAACTATTTTATTTTCCATATTGTAGCGTGAGAATTTTGGTAATGCAATTTCATTTTATTTTATCAATACGTTTGCTTCCTTATCCGAGACATTCTATGACAATGTCATTTATATAAAATGACAATGACAGTGTCAATGTTAATCATATTTAATTTTGAACACCTAACTAATAAAAAGATTTTATTTCTAAATTCGTCGTAAGTATATGTATGATGATTATTTTATAACGACAACAAAAGACAAAACGAAATAATTAGTAGTCCATGTATATGTCCTATTTACGCAATATAGGGTCGAATCTCATTTGCGTACCAAAACGAGTGAATTTTAAAGAACACTCGATACACACTAATTGCTGTTTCAATTTTTGTTTGTTTAACTACATCTGATTAGGTATTAAGTAATACAATAAAATATTACTAAAATTATTTATTTTCCCAATGTTTGTTAAAATTGTTACAGCGCCATCTCTTGAGCACTGTCGAAACTAAGAAGTAAGAGGACAAAATTCATGTTTACCAACTAGATGGCGTTAACGGGGTACGAAGATATGGTTGCTATACGCTAGATGACGCTACTTACATCTTCACGTAACGTGAATGTCAGGTTTTAAATTAAATTTTAATTAAGGTTTTTTTTTATTTAAATAAGACAAAATAGCAAAACAGCCAAGGAAAAAATACTTCATTAAAGATCAAGTCACTATTCTTACATATCAATGTGATTGTAGAACGTATAAATTATTTATTGATATTTTGTTATTACCCCAAGTAATTTCCCTGCATAAGTTTTGAAGGTAGATAGAAATCACAAAGCGCAGCGGCCGTGGGGGATAGCGCCTCGATCTCAGCTTTAACACCACTCTCTAACATTTCTTGCAGATCTTTCTTTATAAGGGAACCTATAATGATACGATATTCTTCACGTTGTTAAGAAGTATGGTTTGTCGCCATTTTTTATTTCGTCTTATTAATAGATTTCTATATTTCGGGATAGTGAGAACATCGTTATGCTTATTTAGGTACTAACCGGTCGACGTATTAAGGTAAGGCCTCTTGAGCAAGCTGGCAATTTTCCTCTTATCCAGTTCGGTGAGGTTGAGACGCGCCTCTCTGGTGGCGAGAGTCATGACGTCACCGTGCCTCGCGCCCAGCAGCTGTAAGGAGCTGCAAGCAAGGGTCTGCGAGAGATGGGACTGAGCCTAGAAGTAAAGTACAAAAGTCGCGTAGAAATTATCGAGTCCGAAACATATTGAAGATTATGCAAACTGTAAATTGTATGTACCAATGAACCGTATTTATAAGTGAGAAAAATTTCGTATCCGTGAGGATCAGCGTCTACTAAAGCTAGTGCCTTCAATCGCAGCTCGTTGACCAGACGGCACAGAAGTTGCCGAGTGCACACGTCCGGGTAACCTTTGCCCTAGAATGAAAACATATTTTAAAGTACAAATAGAGAAGAAAACATATCTAACATTTGATAATCTGAGATTTCCAGCGACCTGAAATAAACGAATATAAAAGTTCAACGTACAGTCAAAATAATGAGCGGCCCTAATCTAACGAGTGCTCCTTCATCTAACAACTTCTGGAAGATGGCATCTTTTTCAACAACCAATATATATTTTGCAGTCGATTTAAACTCCTTTATGCCATCAATATCCTGTGGTACAAGTGTCCCTAAAAATCAGAATACTATTATATGACTGTTAACATAGAATTACAAAAATCACTCTAAATTGCACTCACCGCCTGCCCCAAAACAATCAACACAAGAACCATCTCGTAGTTGTAATTGAATATGGCCCGCGATTAGACCTTTAGCTGTCGCCATTATCCCTAAATTCCAAGGTGGTGTTTGTAGAAGACAACAAACATCTCTAACTGCAACGTCCAAGTTGGCCTGATTTCGGAGTCTTGTTACATTTTGATAGAAAAGTTCCCTAATGCAAAAAAATAATTATATCAATTATTCACGCTTACGTCATATAATTTCAAGTATTTTTCTTGGTTTACCTTCTAGTAACTGATAGATTTTTCAGTAATAACTCGTGTACTTTTGTTAGAACAAAAACTACAGCGTTGAACCTCGTCTTATCTTCTCGATTGGAATAACTCAAAGTTGTTTTCTTCGCGTCGGCAAAAGCTTTCAATGTTACTCTAAAATCGACACAAGTCTAAAATAATTTCATAAAAAAAATATAAACAAAATGATGAACTAATTTCAAACCTATCAAGATCGTAAACGCAGTTACTCCATAATCTCTGATTTCTTAGTAACAGCATCGGGGTATCGCCACTGTCTGCAGAATTGTTTAGTTTCTCCAGTGTTTTTTCTATATTTTTAATCAATTCCTTTCTAATATTACTTCTTTCTTGCAAATACGTACTTGGTATTTTCTCTAAAACAAAGTAATTTTCATACTATACATTGTCATTACTCATTCTTGTGTTATCTAATTTTAGTTTCTTAGTACCTGTGTCTTTTGATGATTTGTTTAACAATTTCTGTACTTCTTCAAAGTTAAGCTTTCGATCAGGCAAAACAATTACACTATTTAAATTGTCTTCTTCATTTCTACCGTACAGTTTATTAATCGCTGCTACAAGTTTTGGATCTTGCTTAAAAACAGATTCTGACGTTGCAGCTAAATCTTTAGGTAGCATCAAGAAATCTCTATTCATTAGTTCCATTTTAATCCTGAAATTACCATTCACGTTAAAATTAATTGACGAACTCGATAGGGCTCTTATTGAATAAACCACCGGTAAAAGTGAAGATGATCCCTACCTACCTAGTGGCGAGATGTTTATCGTCCGCAAACAATAACAGCGTCACAAAACAGAGGTCGTAAAAGGTCCCCGAGACAATAAAGCTTCTCTAGAGTTTTTACAGCGAAATTGAGCGAAGAAGCGAACGGGAGAGATTCATCGTCGGTGGCACATCCGACTCGCGCGCACTGAAAAAATGACACAATAGATATAATCGAGTGATAGTCGAGGCAGGCGTCTCGAGGAGCAGATGACACGGCGTGACGTCGACACAAAAGGCGTGAAGTGACGTCATAATAGCCTCGAATTATCGCCCCCTCTTGTCTCTGGCAAATATTTAACAGCAAAGTGGTTTTTGTTCTCTTTCTTCGGCAGGAGATCGTAAATAACAGGGCCGCGGAGACCGCGCGACGGGCACCGTTACCGCAGCGCTTTGTTACCTGTGACATATTGCTATGAGGTGATGTTTATGTCTTATTATGGATTCGTACGTGAGTTATGGTTAGGCTTCGCATTTCTTGGTAAGACAGTACTAATAAGATTTTTATTTCCGAACGGTGGTCGAGGCAATTAATAAAAAGTTAACTTAAAAAGTTGACAAGTTTATTGCAAAATTTATATTTTATTTAACGTGGGACGTCATTATGACTGACACATATAGCTAGATAAGCACCTGTTGCATACATTCAAATGAGAAGAAAAGCTTTACCCCAAAGTTTTATGCCAAGTTATCTTCATACTAAAAAATCAAACGGTGTAAATTGTCTTGTTAACTACACGCTGTTATTAATTTTATTATCGACACCCATTAACACTTGAGGTGTGAGAAAGTGTTAAAGAGTTCCCAACGGCGCGGGCACCCCGAGGCGCGATAGCATCGCCGGGACAGCCCGCACAAATACCATACAAATTGTTCGATAGCTCCTTCACATTGATTGTTGCAATTATTCGGCGAACCCTTTCGCAACGCCGCGACCGCGGGGAGGTGAGAAACTACTTATCTGTTAACTTGATCGCGAAACAACTCTTTGAGTACGGTGTGAAGACACAATCGTTTGCGTTTGCTACTGGTAGATCGCTGCGGGATGGCGCTTCATTAAAAAGTAACTTCTTAATAAATGTTTTAAGATCATACGGTAGATATGAACTAAATAAAAATAATGTTCAATCGATTTCCCGAGAACCTATCAATGAAAATGATCGAGTAATTGCTGTAGTAAGAATTACCAAGAAAAGATCGAAAACAGCAACTCTCAAGCAAATCTCGTAAATATCGAAGTAACAATGTTCATATCGATAAAATATGTAACTTAGCTGTTCGATTACAAATAACTTCCCACAATACGCGTCCTTTCATCTGGCTAGCGAAGCGGAAATGAAGTAACAATTACAAAAACTGCAATATAAAACATTGGTGAGCAGCGAGTGGTGCAGCGGCCGGCCGCAGCGCTGCCGGGCACCGCGGGGCGCCGCGCTACAATGGACCACCATCGCGCTATCTCGATGGACGATACGTTGCCGCTTAATTGACTGCTCAAACGTTATTTTAATACTTTGTTATTGAATTCGGATACAAATTTGAACTTTATATAACGTTGTAGAATTAAGTAAAAAAAAGAAAGTTATTATTGTAATTTTTTTCTTTTATATTGAACCAGATTTTAACTTCAAGGACACAAACGAACACATTGTTATGAATTTCATAAAAATAATTTTACTAGATATTTCTAGAACTAGAAATGTAATTGTACTAGGCTTGAACGGCATACCACACCTACTAAGTCATACAATGGGAAAGTTTTTTTGGTTTAGGGAAATATAACAATGTTACGCGTATTGTCTTCGCTAAAGCAATTACAATTATAACATATTCAACTTATCCAACACGCTTATTCTGAATTTGAACCCGTATTCCCACAAACGATATCGCGGTAAAATCGCAACTATTTCTCATTTTATGTAGTGGCTACTTATGCTTTGTTCCCCTAACAATAGCAACAATCGCAAGAATACGAATACGAATTCACCTCAGAATAGGTTGACAAGTGCTGGGGGCTTTTAGGAATTTGTTTCTTTTATTGTTTTCTTTGTTAGCTATTAAATTGATACGCTCCATGTAATGTTTTATCGCGAATATTGGCTTAATAATATAACATTTTATTAATGGATGATTAATTTAGTAATTATTACATAATTATAAAGTGATTGGATAAACGTAAAATTTATCTTCTTTTCCATTTGGGAAACACTAGATGCTACAAACGTTTTTAGCTGATCATAATAGGATGTAAGGTAATATATAGCTATAAAGCTCGTTTTAAGAATCCAAAAATCTATATAATCAGTAGAAATATTTTTATTTACGTAACCAAATGTAAGCTGTAACATTTTAGAGTTTTAAAAATACCTAAATTATAAACAGCAACCCCAGAGCGGCTGCGGCAGTGAAGTGGCGTCCCGTTGTGCCCTAACACCGCGCTATACGTTCCCACCCCACTTCACCCGCCAATATGCTACTGGATAAATTTACATGTTAAAGAGCGACTGTCACATATTAAAGGACATAATTATACAATCCATTAGATTTATAGCCGAGAAACAATAGTCCACGAGTGCGTCCAACCCTTTTGTTTAACTAAATCGTAATAGTGAGTGCTTTGCTCATTTATGGGGTAATTAATAGAAAAGTTCTCATGGAAATGAGAGGGATTACTGACAATTAAAAAGTTTTTTGCTTTATTTTATAATAATAAGTTGAGCACGATTCCCGTTTGATCTTAATTTATTTTAATGTTGATACCACGATCAAATAAATAAAACAGATTACCGTTTTTTTCTTTGTGTACGTACAAATCTATACTAATGTTACAAAGACAAAAGATTTGTATTTTTGTATGCATTGAAATAACTCAAACTGATAGGACTTTAAATAGATTTCATCGTTAGAAAGTTAATTTTTAACCTCAAGCGGGCGAAGTCGCGAGCAAAAACTAGTAATGAATAATGATAATGTGCTGTTGGTATTGACGCCTTTGTATACTAACCAAAAAAGATATAGGTTATCTTGGTTTAAAAACATCAAGAATATTATGACACAGAATGAGTTAACAAGAACACGTTTGAAAGTATTACCTCATACAAGATTAGGATTCCTAGTATCATTAGCAGCTGGCCAATACACGCAGCTGCGTTGGACCTAGATCTAATACAATCTTATTTTTCCTCTAATAATCAGTAGAACAAACGACGAGCAACTGCCAATTATATGTCACTAAATGTAAATCATTTAACATTACCTGTAAAAACATTACCTGTAAAGCTTGTAATAACAATCTGTATAAAGACGCTTGAATTAAATTTATTCCAAAACTAGTGTAACAATGATAACTAAAAAATTAACATATGCTTATAATATAGCTAATTACAATAATAATAATAATACAGAACAATTGTTTTAACGAAAACAATATTCAAATTTTAAGTTCGATTTATCAATTTCGTTTTGCGATCATTACCAAAATGGCGGCAAAATGTTTTTTTTTTATAACGTGGTTTTAGGCTATTCAGCCAAGATGAAAATAAAAAATGTTAAAAGCTGTTAAATATTTATTGCATTTGAACAAATAAAAAAAATAACTTTCTAAAAGTAATATAAATTTATTCATTGGGTTTTAATAAATAATGCTTTATGGTTATGGAATGTCGAAGAATTTATCGTTTTTTTTTAAATTTTTTAGAGACGACAGATTAAATAATTATTCATTTATGTATTTTAAAACATATTTTTGGCAATCAATTGTTTGTATGTTTGTAACCGCTTTTATTCGTTTTTTTGTGATATGTAAACGACATATTCTTACTTTTCAAAGTTATCAAGACGTAAATCTGTCTTTACATCCTTAACCAGGGAAAACTCAATCACTACTGCGACATCCAGCTTTATATCCTTGAAATTATATTATCTGTGCACAAATACGATTTACAAAGAGATCAAAAAAACATTTGAAGTTTAATTTATCAGTGTTTAGTAAAAACAAACGGATGGTTAGTGAACGCGTGCTGCGTAAACCTGAGGCAAAAACTACACGTGTGTCCGACAAGATTTTATCTATGCACAGCTGGCATAGTCGCCGTTCGTAGAAAAAGATAGCGTTTAGGGAAATGCTTAAATGCACATGCACTTTGATTTACATAATATTTGAAAATCATTACTATATTATTTATGCAAATCTATCCTTTGATAACTAAATAAACAATTGTAATCTTTGAAGACACTAAAATTGCAAAATAAATTATACATTCCTCACTCTTTAATTTCTTATCTTGTACACAGCAGAGATCGTTGAACTATGACTACAGTATGGTCTAAAATTCTAGGGACAAATAATGAAACACCATTTGTATACATAATCAGTTCGCACGCACCTGGCTGTATTGTAAGCGATCATTTCAACTCTGTAATATACGGCGGACTCCCGCCTAGCCTCATATTAGAAATTATCATTTTTTGCTAAGGCAATGTTGCTACTTTACATTTTTGCCCTAGTGCAGTCTGTATTTTAAAAAACCTAATATGCTATTATTGTAATTGGTTTGTTTGCAATTTTTCAAAAAAGACACATTTTTAAATTGACATAAGTAGTTACACTCCAGGTGAATTTCTTGCGGCAGCCGTGGAGGTTATTTTTTTAACATTACTACTGCGAAGTAGCTAATATTATTTACTAGCAATTTTATTTACATTGTTAACAGTTTAAATTACTGTAAATGAATTGGTATATTTGAACGAATTTTAGTTAATTTTTAATTATTGTAGTAATGCATGCATACGTCTATCTTAGTTAGATAATTGAGGAGGTTTCGTGGAGTGTCGAGTGCGGCGGGCGGGGAGGGGGAGGGCTGCATTCCCTCACACCTCGCGT